TCTCTCTGGCCTTAGTAAGTTCAAACGGCCAAAACTGGCATTCCCTGATTTTCTTTTTTTCTTTCTTTCTTTTTTTTTTTTTGTCGGAGCTGAGGACCAAACCCAGGGCCTTGCGCTTGCTAGGCAAGTGCTCTACCACTGAGCTAAATCCACAACCCCCCCCCCCCCAATTTTCAATTATGGCAATTTCTGCCACTGCACAAACAAATTATCCAAAATTCTCTTATATCGAAACTTGCTTTCTTCTCTATTTCTTCTTACCTACACTTATCTGGAGTAGCTCTTACATATGGATGTTTGTCATCCAAGAGACCCTCGCCTCTAGTCAACAGCCCATCCTAATAGGGTCAGGAAATTACATCAGGCTGTCAAAGGCTGAGTCAGTCCCCTGTACCTCCCCTATCCATCTCTCCTTCACTGGGGCTTATCACCTATGCATGTCTTCTCTATTCTTGTATGATAATTCCTGTCCTGAAAACAAAGAATCATAAAAACAGGGTTTATGATAGAATTAAAAAAAACAATGCTTGTTTAATAAGGTATTAAAGCTGCACATTCATGTACTCATAGGGGAACGTACAGATGTTATAAAGGTCTGAGAATGTGAAAACTTAGTAAGCACTGAGGAAACTTAAGTTCTGAGGGTCTAAGAAAGCGTTGTCTGAGCATGTGAAAGCTGAAGTAAGTTCTGAAGGTATAAGAAAGTGTCATGTTTGTGAAAGTTCTGAAGGTACAAGAAAGTGACTTAGGATGATGGAAAATGTTTCAGATTTCTTTCCCCTCTGTGCTATTGTTAAATCTATACTTAATGGTTCAACTAGACCACTTGTACGGTGGGGTCTGGAGATTGCTCACTAGCAGGTTGCCAAAAGGAGATACTTATCCCTGTGATACATAAATCAACTTCTGAAACACCTGTCCCCTATTCCTTCTTTCTCTATGATTAAACTAGAGATCACCATCGTTGTTGGCCAGATGTAGGCTGCCCTTAGCAGTCCTATAAAAGATAAGATCCAACAACTTCAGACACTTTCAAAACATAAGAAACATCTTGATGCCTCTGGCCACTGGGTCACTGATTGTCCAATATGACACTGGATGCTGCTCTTCTCATCCCTCTTCTCCTTCTTTTCCTAATCCTGCTAGTTGCACCCTGCCTTATAAACTTCTTGTCTAGATTTCTTCAACTGCAGATCCAAGAGATTTCTATCCAGACTTTTACCAGCCTCTGGCTACAGAGCCGGAGACCTGCAGCACCGGGTTACATCCTGCTGATGACGATCAAGATTGCCCAAAGAACTTCGATGCCCTGATCTAGCAGGAAGTAGTCTAGTGATGACATTGCCCCTTTCCTGTGACCTGTTTATTAATAATAAACAAAAAGGGGGAATGTAAGCCCCTCAAACCACTCGAGTGTCCAGGTTCCACCCACAGAATACTCTAACTGCCCTAACTGCTGTGCCCTGCCCCCACCCTGCACAGGAGTGGCCAGCCCCCGCCCCACCTCTAACTGCCAGGTTCCACCCTCAGAACACTCTAACTGCCCTAACTGCTGTGCCCTGCCCCCACCCTGCACAGGAGTGGCCAGCTCCCCCTCTCCACCTCTAACTGCCAGGTTCCACCCACAGAATACTCTAACTTCCCTAACTGCTGGCCCCTGACCCCACCCTGCAGAGCAAAAAGCCCAATCTCTGGACATGAAATCCCACCAATCTCCACCCTGGGAAGCTCCACCATGAAAAGTTCCACCCCCTTCCCAAGAAACTCTATATAAGCCTTGTGTCCTGTTCCGTTTGCTGCTGTGTCTTTCTGGAGCAGAGGCGGCAGCTACTCTCTTGGTTTTTGAGGTTTGTTGTGTGGTGTGACACTGTGGTATTCCTTGGCTTCCAGCTGCCAGGACACCTTTCCATCCGAGCTGCCATGCTTACAGAGATGACCCCAGTTTGCGTCAAGTTGACAAAAACAAACAAAAAACAACTGACCAGCACAAACAGCATGTATCACAAATTTCTGTGGCAATAGTTCAGTCACAGCATGCAATAAAAATCACATTGATCAAGATTCACAAGCTCCTTTAAGGTCTGCTAAGTACTTTTTTTTTTTTTTCTGTGTAAAATCCTTAAACCTGTGACAATTAAAAAATGCTAGCTTTTTTACTGGGAGGTCAATTATACATGAAAGATGGAAAAGATGAACTCATCATTTGTGTGTTCTGAATCATTCCAGCTTTGTTCAGCAGTGGCTGGAACTCTCTCCTCATACTCCTGTTTGCTTTCCTGATGCAGCTGTGCTGCCCGGACATTGGCTGGACTGTCTGTATGCAATTCCTCCTGCAGAGACTGACCAGAAGCTAAGAGAGAAGACACATCACATTGCGTGCTGGACTCCATCAATTCTGAAGGACACCTGAACCATCACACATTTGGATGAAACAATTTTGTGATTTATTTAGATTTAGGTATTCTCCAGAAAATTCTACTAGTAGTTAGTGAACTGTTGAGAGAGAGAGAGAGAGAGAAAGAGAGAGAGAGAGAGAGAGAGAGAGAGAGAGAGAGAGAGAGAGAGAGAAAACAGAAAACAGAATATACTAGAATACCACTCAATGCTACAGCACTTGCCTATAGCAAGGCATGGGGCCTCAATTAATCACTTTAGTCCTCACCCCACTTAAAAATAATAAAAAGAAAACCTATGTACCATGTAACATTAGTTTTATAAAATTTTCTATTTCACGTCTATACATATAAATGCATGTTGGCAAAGTGAAATACATTTCTTAGGGGTGCTGGGCACCACTGCCAAAGTTTCTTTCTTTTTAAAGCCACTGCACTTAAACCTACTGGGTGTTTTGTTTGTTTGTTTTTGTTTTCTTGAGACAGGGTTTCTCTCTGTAGTTTTGGTGCCTGTCCTGGATCTCGCTCTGTAGACCAGGCTGGCCTCGAACTCAGAGATCCGCCTGGCTCTGCCTCTAAACCTACTGCTGTTCACGAGCAGAGGTCTAATTCACAGAAGTATCTGTTTCAGCATCACTGCTCCCTGGGAGTGTGGTTTACAGAGCGAGGGCTGTAGACCTCTCTTCCATATTGCTGCTGGCTTTGGTTAGGTATAGAATACAGATAACAGTTCTTCAACTTTGGAATAAGAGCCAGCCAAGGAATTAGACTGTAGCTTTCATACCTCACCTCTAGGCTGAGAACGAAGAATGCATTCCATCACAAGGATAATCTGAAGATTTGAAAGGAATTGGGGGAAAACTTGAAGAATTTTACGTGTGTGTGCGTGTACTCGAGCCACTGAGATCAAAAGAAAGCATCAGTTCCCTTGGTGCTAGAGTTACAGGCCGTTATGTACTACCTGATGTGGGTGTTGGGAACTGAACTCTGGTCCTCTGGAAGCACAGCAGTGCTCTTAACCAGTGAGCTAACACTCCAGCGAAGCATGAAGAACTTCCATTGATGTGTGCAAAACAGAATGTTTTCTTGAGAGAAAATTCCAAAAGGGCTGGAAAACCTTTTGTGGGAGAGAACTGAGCATCTAACAGGATTAAAACACATTTCCTTGAGTGGAAATATCCCATAATCATTGGCATTTTTATTGGAATAAAACACATTGAAAAAAACATGATAGAGCCGTCTCTTACCTAACCAAGAAAATTTCATTCTGAACACTATTCTAAAATCTGAGAATCTTTTGAGAGTTATCTTGCTTTTCCCCCCTACAGGATACATTTTCCTAAAATTACCATATACCAGGCCTTCAATCCCAGCACTCCAGCACTCGGGAGGCAGAGGCAGGCGGATCTCTGTGAGTTCGAGGCTAGTCGTCTACAAAGTGAGTTCCAGGACAGCCAGAACTGTTACACAGAGAAACCCTGTGTCTAAAAAAACAAAACAAAACAAACAAAAGATTACTGCATGTTATCTGGGCCTGGCATAATGCCAGCACTTGGGAGAGCCAGGAGTTCAAGATCATCCTCAGCTACTAACATAGTGAAGTTGAGCTCCACGAGACCTTGCCTCATTATATATTACTCAAGTTAATTCTCAACTTCCAAATGGTGGTTTATGTATTCCCTAGGGAATTTTTTCATACTTCTTGGCAGTCTTAAGTCTCTAAAGCTTGATCTTGGCTGGATTTGATTTATTCTCCATCATCCTGCTCCACGTCCACTTCCCTTATTTCCCCATCTGCAGCGGTTCGTGGTAACCCTAGTAACGGGAAAAGCCGGCTTCTCCCACCGAGGTGGCCGGGCGCCCTCTGCTGCCAGAAACGGGAACTGGCATCCCCCAGCCATGGCAACTGTTTCCAGGACCCACAGGCCGGGAAAACGGTCTAGGACGCGCCCAGCAGCTCGCTCTACAACCCACCTGCCAGCGCCTGCGTCGGGAGTCCTTCCCTTGGCGTGGGCTGTGGTCCCCCGGGTTGAAGCAGTTAGCAGTCCGTCCAGCACGCTCCAGTCCAGTGCGGGTGTGCGGGTGCGGTCCCCGCTTCGTCCCCGCCCCGAGGGTGCTCACCTGGCTCTCACCCTGCGCCCAGCTAGCGACGCGGAGGAGATCGACTGGGAGCTGGTGCTCGACGCAGCTGGGCGGAGACCAAGCCCTCCGCCGCCACTGGCTACCCCGGCTGTCCACCCGCTGATTGGCCTCGCCGGCCCCAGCCCACTTCTGCCCTCCCCAGGACCAGAATTGAGGGCCAGACTTGCCCTTCCTTTCCTTTGGTTTCAGTGTTTTACAGTGAGTTAAAATGTTTCTATGCTGTACTCCTGATGAGTGGTGTTTATTCCTACGTAACTGTAAACCTTGATTAAAATTCCAGACTTGGCATTGCACCCCATGTTTATTTACCTACTGTCCTTTCAACAAGAATATGAAAGGCAAATTTCCCTCTTCACGCAGCCGACATTTCCTAAAAGCTTGGCAATGAGCAAGGCACCCCACTGTGTGCTGGAGATACAAATATGATTAAGGCTTAAGCAATTCAGATGAATGAAACACTAGAGATCATTTGTGGAAAATTTACTTCCATTTCAAATACATTTCAGACTCGTTAAAATAGATGAACGAAGCAGCCGGTGTGCACCCAGCCGGTAACGGAATTTGATAATACTCTTTATCAAATCAAGATACACTCTTTAAGTATAGACAAGTCTGCTGGCAGCGGCCATTGCGGGCATAAAGAATGAATGATACAGAATGATGCATGTTTATAGATGAAGACTCCAGCTTTGGGATAATCCTTAGGCCGCTTCACTAAATGTAAACATCATCACATGTTCCAGGTGAACTTGAACTCCCACACCAAGGACTTCAGCTGAGAAAGACTCTGTAACAATCTGGAGAATGGCTGTCATTCTGTGGGCTTTGTAATTCTCCTTTTACATGTACCGTTTTCTTCTGGCTATGTACAATCTATGCTGAATTGAAAAAGGTCAAAACAATCTGAATAAAAGTGTGGTTTGGGGAAACAATTTTAATCTTCACTGTGTGAGAGATTAAGAGCACAATAAATTAAAGCCATATGTTAAACCAAAAATTCCTTTATACAAAGTATCAAAATACAATCACATTTCTAAAATGAAACCAGAGGTTTACAGTTGTTGTCCTAAGTAAGCTAAGTCAAAAGCTGTACGAGAAACATCAATGGGGCAAATGTATGAATGAAGACTCTCCCGAATCCCCACGTTTCATCGAGCATCAAAGACCACCACTGTTGAACGAGTTAAGGATTTTGAACAGTACTTAAAATTGTGTAATACTAAGGCTTCCAAGTAACCACCTCTGCACCAAGCTTGCTATTTGGTATAAAATGAACAAGAGTGAATTTCACTATGGCCATCAGACATTAAAAGAATAAAGTACACAACTTCCATTTTCTTTTTTCTTTTTTTTTTCTTTTTTTTTGGTTTCTCTGTGTAGCTTTGCGCCTTTCCTGGGACTCACTTGGTAGTCCAGGCTGGCCTCGAACTCACAGAGATCCACCTGTCTCTGCCTCCCGAGTGCTGGGATTAAAGGCGTGCGCCCCCACCGCCCGGCACAACTTCCATTTTCATTAGTTCATTTCCATGATACAAAATAATATAAATTTTAAAAGATAATAAAAATAATTTAAAAACACTGAAATACTTGATGATGACTTTTAAGAGTTTGTGTCAGTTACCATGAAACAATTTCCTTTCTGTATTTGGACTAATATGTAGGCCTCACTATTCTCCATTAATTTCTTCTTGCATACTTCAGATTATCCATAAACTAACAATCAAGAATGACTACTTCTAAAAATAAAGAATTCCTGAAAAATAAAAATATTTATGCAAACTCAAATCAACTAGTTTTTTAATTACTTAGAGCCCATAATGAATGACACATGAAAGTGCTAATCATGTTTACTTTAAAAATAAAAAAAATCTACAATTATCTACTGAGTTTTAAAAAATATATTTATTTAGGTTTATTTTATGCGTGTGAGTGCTTTTGCCTGAATGTACATATGTGCATCATTTGGGTCCCTTGTACAGGTGGAAGTCAGAAAAAGGGATCAGACCCCCTGGAACTGGAGTTACAGATGGTCATGAGCAATCTTGTTGGTGCTAGAAACAGAACCCAGGTCCTTTGAAGAGCAGCCAATGCCCTTACCTGCTGACCCATCTCTCCAGACCCCATTTGTTTTTGTTTTGTTTTGTTTTTGGTTTTTCAAGACAGGGTTTCTCTGTGTAGTTTTGGTGCCTGTCCTGGATCTCACTCTGTAGACCAGGCTGGCCTCGAACTCACAGAGATCCGCCTGGCTCTGCCTCCCAAGTGCTGGGATTAAAAGTGTGTGCCACCTGTGTTTTTTTTTTTGTTTTGTTTTTTTGAGACTGGGTCTCACTAAGTAGCTCTGGCCTGCCTGGAACTCAGAAAGCTCTTCCTGCCTCTACCCTCAAGTTTAGGGAAAAATAAATCCTATTACAATAATTAATCTAGATATACCTCCTTTCGAGCCTCCTACATTCTCAGTTCTTTCTCACTCTTCCTTAATAAATCCATGTTCAATCTGCTTAAAAATAAATAATCCAGCCGGGCGGTGGTGGCGCACGCCTTTAATCCCAGCACTCGGGAGGCAGAGCCAGGCGGATCTCTGTGAGTTCAAGGCCAGCCTGGTCTCCAAAGCGAGTTCCAGGAACGGCGCAAAGCTACACAGAGAAACCCTGTCTCGAAAAACCAAAAAAAAAAATAAAATAAATAAATAAATAAATAAATAAATAAATAAATAATCCAAAAGTTATTACTACTGTTACCAGAACTTAGTTTTTATCAACTCAAATATTATTTTCCCCTTACATTTAGAAAGCATAGTCAAAAGGATACATCTTTTAGTCCTCTTCTTGTACATTATTCTGTATCCACATTCTCTGCATCTGATTGGATCCCTGGACTTTATTTCATTTTCGGTGTGACACTCTAGGAAATAAAACATGTTTATTCAATGCCTGAAAGAGAAACACTACAGGGAACGGAATATAACCAGGGATTTCTTCAGGAGCAAGCCAGAGCACCCAAGGCAGCCAAGTGCCTTTTTATTACTAAACAGACCACGAGGAAAGAAGAGAGCTGTTGGCAGTGCTCCTTGTCCTGATGAAAGGACGAATCTTAATGAGGGATTTTTAAATTAATGACTGCTAAAGTGCTCCACTGGAATTCACAACGATCTGCTTGTCTCTGCCTCCCACGTGCTGGGGTTAAAGGCGTGCACCACCACTGCCCGGCTAAAATGCTTCACTTGTAACTTTAAAGATTAGTACTCATGTAAGGAAAGTTTAAGTAAAACATTCTTACTTAAATGTTTTTTTTTTTTTTTGGTTTTTCGAGACAGGGTTTCTCTGTGTAGCTTTGCGCCTTTTCCTGGAACTCACTTGGTAGCCCAGGCTGGCCTCGAACTCACAGAGATCCGCCTGGCTCTGCCTCCCGAGTGCTGGGATTAAAGGCGTGTGCCACCACTGCCCGGCTTAAATGTTAATCTTACCTCCACAAATATATATCATCGGCTGCTGCTTTGGGGGCTGAACGTCTTTCTGAGTGTCCATTGTTAGTGCCTGAAATCAGAGTCAAAGACTGAATAACAGGGCTTTTGCACAAAACCAACCAGGCCCCATTTTCCCAGAAGCTATACAAGGTCCTGATTCCTGGGCTGAAAAGAAAAATTTGAGAATAAAATGTTTTCTCGACATGCAGAGGCTCGAAGATCAAACCCCAGCATTACAGCGGGGAGTAAAATCCCCCCCAGACTGTGGGCTGGGTCTGAACGATGAAACACATTCTCAACATTAAATACATTATGAATGTTTACTCCACTGTTCAAGATCCTGGAGGGGATCACTCTTTACACACGAAGAAACTGAGGCTAAGAACGGGTTTGTGAGCCCAGTATCACCCCACTACTAAGAAGCAAAGGGATTCAGACATCAAAGCCTCTCCCAACACTAACTCCACAGGGGAGCTTTTCATTAATTATTTATTTACGTATTTGGTCTTTGGGAGAATCTTCACTTTGCAGCTCAGGTTGGCCTGGAACTCACTTTATAGCCTAAGCTAACCTCAAAATCAAGGTGCTCGCTGAAGGCGGCATTCTCCTGCCTCTGCTTCCCAAGCGCTCAGATGGCAGGCGTGTGCCACCTCTCCCGGCCACCCGGGAACTTTTTAAAACCACGTGTCTCTCCAGTTTTTGCCCCCAGTCTACGTTCAAAGTCCTCAGTCGCCGATCTCTTACCTCGGCAGGTCAAAAAGGTTCTATATGCACGCAAAACCTCTTTCCGGCCCTCAGAAGCAGACTCACTACCGGCGCTGCTCGTCAGCTTCCGGCGCGGCCTTATGACGCACCGGAGCCCCGCCCCTTCCGCCCTGAAGTTCCGATCGCGGCAAATCGGAGGAGCCCCGTGCGCTGGGGTTTGAGACCGGTATAGTGTTTCCTTCCCACTTAATTCCCGTGGGTTCTGTGTTTATTTTCCCCTCTCCCCACGGAAGCAAAACGTTTCCACAGCTCAGCATTATTCCAAGGTTTGTGCTTCTCTCAGGGCACACAGAGCAGGAACCCAGGTGACATGCGCTGTTGGAATCCTGAAGGAGCCGTTGCCCGGGCAAACACGAACGGGCGACCCTAGCAGTCATTTTCACGAGTTAGACACTTCTACATTGCGGCTTTCAACTTGTTCAACACCTGTGCGGCTGGGTTTTTTTGTTTTGTTTTTCGTCTGTTTTTTCAATTTCCAGTTCCCTCCTGTCACTCCTTTTCCACTCTATTTTAGGGAGTGGAAAGGTAGAGAAAGGGTACTCTGTGTTGCTAGCCTTAAACTCGCACAGTCCTGCCCTTTTGCCTCCTCTGTGCAGAGATAACCCGTGCAAACCACACCGCCTGCCATCTCCCTCCGTTTTGGAAGCAAAGGCTTTCTTATGAGCAGCTCCATCAATTACTCCCACCAGTCGGTGGCGTCGGCTCCTCCTACCTGTGTTCACACAGGAAGAAAGTGACAGTTCAGTAGAAAGTGTGTGTGCTCTCAAAGATCAAACATTTAATTCAGTAAAACATATCTGTTTAGTTCAGGTCACTTATATTCAATCAATTCTTTTACAAAAGTCACATTAAATAATAGGGTTCTCTCCCAATGCACATCCTGGCATCTTAGTAGGCTGTACTTCCCATTCTCCATCCACCAAATGGAGAACTTTGAGCTTTGCCTTTTATTTCTAGGAGTTCAAACCTGTGGTATCCACAGACCAGCTTGAGAAATTTCCAGTTCTTCCCAGGCTGACATCTTCCTAGATGTCAAAAAATTTTCAGGACTCAGTAGTAAAATGCCTGCTTAACCTGCATGGGCTCACAGCGGTAATTTTTTAAAAAGGAAATCTTCAGGAAAACAGTAGTACTCAGCTTCTTCCTCTACACACAGAAGAACAGCCTGTTTTGACCCTCAACCATGTTACAAAGTCTCAGCAAAAGGGAGAGGTAATCAAATGTGCACATCAGGCATCTGTCAATAAATACTAGGTGAAAACCACCGCTATCGAGGATGTGAGACTTTCACACTTGCAAGACATCTTGGATTTTAAGATTTTGTTGTTATTTTAAGTTGTGTGTGTGTATTAGTGTCAGACCCGAAGAGTCGTTGGATCCCCTGGACTGGAGTTACAGACATCAGAAGCTGCCCTCATAGGTGTTGGGAACTGAATTTGGTCCTCTGCAAGAACAGCAAGTGCCCTTAAACGCTGGGCGGCCTCTCCAGCTCTTGCATTTTTCTTTCTTCCCTTCCTTCCTTCCTTCCTTCCTTCCTTCCTTCCTTCCTTCCTTCCTTCCTTCCTTCCCTCCCTCCCTCCCTCCCTCCCTCCCTCCCTCCCTCTTTTTTCTTTCTGTTTTTCGAGGCAGGGTTTCTCTGTGTAGCTCTGGCCATCCTGGAACTCTCTCTGTAGATCAAGCTGGCTTTGAATTCAGAGGTCTGCCTGCCTCTGCTCCCACGCCCTGGGATCAAAAGTGAGCACCACCACAACCAGGCATGAATGGGTGTTTTTTTCTTATACAGTCTTGCTATGTAGCCTGGCTAGCCTGGAATTCACAAATCCTCCTGCCTCTGTCTCCCAGTGCTGAGATATCAAGTATGCACTATTAAGCATAGCTTTTTCCTGGATTCTAAATCTGTTTACATACCAAATTTTTTTTTTTATCACAAAACAGGTATGAAGGTTAGAATGGATCACCACATGTTGATCATAAATGTACCGTGTGAATCTACAGGATGGTGGTGCCTAGTCTCAGTAAAGAGATCTAGTATTTCCATAATAGTTCACATTGGTGCTAGTTCCCAACCCAACACTCTATTAGCAGCAACTGTAACACCATGGAACATACCCTACAGATGCTACCCTGTTTTCAATTACAACATTAAACTGACTCTTTGAACATTCATCACATGCCAGAAATCACTTCATGGCTCTCTCCTAGTGAAGCTGGTTGTCCTTCCATCCTGAGGCTTTTAACCCTTTATAAAATGGTTATAGTGAAACAAGTTGCCATTTTTCCTGTGAACCTCTGAATTTCTTTTATGCTTAATGATAACAATTTCTGCATCGCTTGAATGTAGAGGTCACTGGGAAAAAATTCATGGTGTTTTATTGAATGAGCCTCAAAAGAAATTAGATCTTGTGGGAACCAAGTAGGTAGAATTCTATCATGGGAGCCTGATCCAAGAAAAGAGATCCAAGAGCAAAAGATGCGATAGATAAGGAATATACCAGGGCCAGCAAGATGATTCACTGGTGCCTCAAACCTTGCTATGTAGCCGAGGAGGGCCTTGTACTTCTCATCCTTCTCCACCTCCCATGTTCTGGGGAACACTGGAGCCACAGTGCCTGCTTCTGGGGAACATCGGAGCCACCGTGCCTGCTTCTGGGGAACTCAGTTTTCTTCACTTGTAATAAAATGTCTCCTGAAAAATAAGTAAATAAGCGTTTTTAAATTTGAAAAATAGCAATACAGTGGTTATTTGGATATTTTTAGCCATAAACAAAAAGTCCTTCTTTGTTTACATTGGGGTGGAGAAATTAAAATAAGTAGATTACGGCCAGGCGGTGGTGGCGCACGCCTTTAATCCCAGCACTCGGGAGGCAGAGACAGGTGGATCTCTGTGAGTTCGAGGCCAGCCTGGGCTACCAAGCGAGTCCCAGGAAAGGCGCAAAGCTACACAGAGAAACCCTGTCTCGAAAAACGAAAAAAAAAAAAAAAAAAAGTAGATTACATCCTTTATTTTCAAAGGAGAGTATGAATGAAGTCCACAACTACCATGAATTTATGCAGCAGAGTTTCTCATATTTGGGGAAATTGCTGGTGTCATCACATCTAGAATTCAGTGGATAAGCCTCACCCCAGGGAAAACTATCTTCATGATTATAACATATATCATTTGTCTAGTTAGGGTTTCTATTGCTGTGAAGAGACACCATGACCACAGCAACTCTTATAAAGGAAAACATTTAATTGGGGTGGCTTACAGTTTCAGGAGTTTAGTCCATTATCATTATGATGGGACATGGTGGTATGCAGGCAGACATGGTGCTGGAGAAGGAGTTGATAATTCAACAGGAAGTGAAGGCAACAGGAAATGAACTGTGACACTGGGTGTGTCTTGAGCATATATGAGACCTCCAAGTCTGACTCCACAGAGACACTTCCTCCAACAAAGCCACATCTCTTCATAGTGTCGTTCCCGATGAGCTTATGGGGGCAATTACATTCAAACTACCACATCATCCTCTTTGTTTGGGGGTGTGCTCATGCATCCTAAACTGACCTCAAATCTATCTAGCTGGTGATTTTGCACTTGTGGTCCTCCTGCCTCCCTCCCAGATGCTGAGTTTACACCAGTGCTGTCTGGGGTATGCTGGGTTAACCCAGGGCTTCGTGCATGCTAGGCAAACACTCCACCAACTGAGCTCCATCCCCGACTCTAGGTGACTGAATTTTAGAAGACGATACCTGGGAAGTGCTGCAGAGGGAAGGACTGTCAGTTCTGAGCAAAGCAGGATGAAATGGCTAGAACAAAGACTTTATTTGAAGAGACCCGAGAGTACCGTTTATTGTACGTGGAAGTGTGGGGGAACACCAAGTGTCGTATGTGTCATGAGTTCATTGGCCCCTTAAACTGTACAGGTACCTCCTCAACATTATATTAATATCACATTTCCCTCAAAGGCAGTTCTGTTACCCCCACCCCCACCCCCATGCTGTTGATTCTGCTGACGGAGCATGTTGGTCCAGGTTGCTCACTACCCCCACTAGCGGTCTTCCCGAGTAACACAGCAGCTCTCTACTGGTCTCCCTCACTTCTTTTCATTCTGTCCTCTATTCTATGCACCCGTTTTTCTAAGATGCTCTGCATTGCCTGCAGGAAACCTGTCTTAACAATCATCCACAACTCTTGAGACATAATGTCCCCACTTCTCAAGCGCTGTTCTCCTGCCCTTTCAGCCACTGTGCCATGGTTCCCAGCTGTAACATTACATCATCACCATCATCATCATCAACTCTCAATATGTAGATTTGGCTGGTCTGGAACTCACTGTGTAGATCAGGTTGGCCTCAAATTCATAAGAAATCTGCCTGTGTCTGCCTCTGCCTCCCAAATGCTGGGATTAAAGATGTGCACCACCATGCTGGTTATAAATTGTTTTTTAAGTAATAAACATGCTTTTTGTTGATTTTTAGATTTAAAAAACTACATCTCCACAGTATCAGAAAAAACAAGGCGTTACATCATTTCAGGTGACGTGCAGCTGGCAATAAAATCTAGTCTTTCATATTCTGCCTCGCTCCTTCAGCTCCGACTTTGCTGATGTTGTTGCTCATGACACTTTCCTCGGAAGTGTCTTTCAGCTGATGGCAGGGACCCCACCTGGCCTTGCCTTGGAGGTCCGGCATCCCTGGCTGTTCTCTGTCTAATTCTGTAGCCCCGTCACTTGTTTGAGGCGGCTGCGGGTGAATAGCTCATCTTCTGCAGACTGGGTATCCAGGGGCTGACTCTCTCAGCTGTTTTCTCACTCAGCCTGAGACATGCCGTCTAGCTCGCTCAACTTCCTGAGAGTCCTCAGAGGAAAGCACTCTCTGTAATAGTCTGTAGTGAGTGATGGACAGCTTTTCTAATGTGTCTAACAAGCTGCTCTTGCTTGTTAAATTTGGAATTCCC